TCTAAAATTTCCACGACAGAAACACACTGTCCCTGGCCTTTCCCCCTGTCTTTGGGTGTCAGAAACACGTTCTCCTCCCAGCTGTACTCGGCTCCCGGGAAACACAAACTCTTTTTTTGCCGTGCTCGCTGCCCTCTGGTCTCAGAAACACACTGTCCTTTGATATCGCCGCTGTCTTTGGGTGTCAGAAACACGTTCTCCTCCCAGATGTACTCGTGTCCCGGGAAACATAAGCTCTTTTTTTACCCTGCTCGCTGACCTCTGGGCTCAGAAACCCACTGTCCCTGGCCTTTCCCCCTGTCTTTGGGTGTCAGAAACACGTTCTCCTACCAGCTGTACTCGGCTGCAAAACTCCCAGGGCTGTGTGAAATGGGATCGCGGGTCACTCGGACCCGCTCAATTCGGGGTGTGTACGCGACGCGAGGACAACGGCTGGGGTTAGATGCCGGGGTTGTGAGTTCGAGCCTCGCCCGGTGCGGTGGTTTTTTACACCCTCGCCGATAAATACTAATAAAGGTAGTAAGAATAGATGGACAACGATGAAACACGCGCACGTTGTTGTATTTCGGCCTCCTCTTTTTTGCAAAACCCTTGAGGGCTGTGTGAAATGGGATCGAGGGTCACTCGGACCCGCTCAATCCGGGGTGTGTACGCGACGAGAGGACAACGGCTGGGGTTAGATGCCGGGGTTGTGAGTTCGAGCCTCGCCCGGTGCGGTGGTTTTTTACACCCTCGCCGATAAATACTAATAAAGGTAGTAAGAATAGATGGACAACGGTGAAACACGCGCACGTTGTTGTATTTCGGCCTCCTCTTTTTTGCAAAACTTTTGAGGGCTGTGAAAAGAGATCGAGGGTCACTCTGACCCGCTCGACTCGGGCTGTGTACGCGACGCGAGGACAACGGCTGGGGTTAGATGCCGGGGTTGTGAGTTCGAGCCTCGCCCGGTGCGGTGGTTTTTTACACCCTCGGCGATAAATACTAAAAAAGATAGTAAGAATAGATGGACAACGGTGAAACATGCCGACGTTGTTGTATTTCGGCCATCTCTTTTTTGCAAAACTCCCAGGGCTGTGTGAAATGGGATCGCGGGTCACTCGGACCCGCTCAATTCGGGGTGTGTACGCGACGCGAGGACAACGGCTGGGGTTAGATGCCGGGGTTGTGAGTTCGAGCCTCGCCCGGTGCGGTGGTTTTTTACACCCTCGCCGATAAATACTAATAAAGGTAGTAAGAATAGATGGACAACGGTGAAACACGCGCCCGTTGTTGTATTTCGGCCTCCTCTTTTTTGCAAAACTCCCAGGGCTGTGTGAAATGGGATCGCGGGTCACTCGGACCCGCTCAATCCGGGGTGTGTACGCGACGCGAGGACAACGGCTGGGGTTAGATGCCGGGGTTGTGAGTTCGAGCCTTGCCCGGTGCGGTGGTTTTTTACACCCTCGCCGATAAATACTAATAAAGGTAGTAAGAATAGATGGACAACGGTGAAACACGCGCACGTTGTTGTATTTCGGCCTCCTCTTTTTTGCAAAACTCTTGAGGGCTGTGTGAAATGGGATCGCGGGTCACTCGGACCCGCTCAATCCGGGGTGTGTACGCGACGCGAGGACAACGGCTGGGGTTAGATGCCGGGGTTGTGAGTTCGAGCCTTGCCCGGTGCGGTGGTTTTTTACACCCTCGGCGATAAATACTAAAAAAGATAGTAATAACAGATGGACAACGGTGAAACATGCCCACGTTGTTGTATTTCGGCCTCCTCTTTTTTGCAAAACTCCCAGGGCTGTGTGAAATGGGATCGCGGGTCACTCGGACCCGCTCAATCCGGGGTGTGTACGCGACGCGAGGACAACGGCTGGGGTTAGATGCCGGGGTTGTGAGTTCGAGCCTCGCCCGGTGCGGTGGTTTTTTACACCCTCGGCGATAAATACTAAAAAAGATAGTAAGAATAGATGGACAACGGTGAAACATGCCCACGTTGTTGTATTTCGGCCTCCTCTTTTTTGCAAAACTCCCAGGGCTGTGTGAAATGGGATCGCGGGTCACTCGGACCCGCTCAATTCGGGGTGTGTACGCGACGCGAGGACAACGGCTGGGGTTAGATGCCGGGGTTGTGAGTTCGAGCCTCGCCCGGTGCGGTGGTTTTTTACACCCTCGCCGATAAATACTAATAAAGGTAGTAAGAATAGATGGACAACGGTGAAACACGCGCTCGTTGTTGTATTTCGGCCTCCTCTTTTTTGCAAAACTCCCAGGGCTGTGTGAAATGGGATCGCGGGTCACTCGGACCCGCTCAATCCGGGGTGTGTACGCGACGCGAGGACAACGGCTGGGGTTAGATGCCGGGGTTGTGAGTTCGAGCCTTGCCCGGTGCGGTGGTTTTTTACACCCTCGGCGATAAATACTAAAAAAGATAGTAATAACAGATGGACAACGGTGAAACATGCCCACGTTGTTGTATTTCGGCCTCCACTTTTTTGCAAAACTCCCAGGGCTGTGTGAAATGGGATCGCGGGTCACTCGGACCCGCTCAATTCGGGGTGTGTACGCGACGCGAGGACAACGGCTGGGGTTAGATGCCGGGGTTGTGAGTTCGAGCCTCGCCCGGTGCGGTGGTTTTTTACACCCTCGCCGATAAATACTAATAAAGGTAGTAAGAATAGATGGACAACGGTGAAACACGCGCACGTTGTTGTATTTCGGCCTCCTCTTTTTTGCAAAACTCTTGAGGGCTGTGTGAAATGGGATCGCGGGTCACTCGGACCCGCTCAATGGGGTGTGTCGCGACGCGAGGACAACGGCTGGGGTTAGATGCCGGGGTTGTGAGTTCGAGCCTTGCCCGGTGCGGTGGTTTTTACACCCTCGGCGATAAATACTAAAAAGATAGTAATAACAGATGGACAACGGTGAAACATGCCCACGTTGTTGTATTTCGGCCTCCTCTTTTTTGCAAAACTCTGGAGGGCTGTGTGAAATGGGATCGCGGGTCACTCGGACCCGCTCAATTCGGGGTGTGTACGCGACGCGAGGACAACGGCTGGGGTTAGATGCCGGGGTTGTGAGTTCGAGCCTCGCCCGGTGCGGTGGTTTTTACACCCTCGCCGATAAATACTAATAAAGGTAGTAAGAATAGATGGACAACGGTGAAACACGCGCACGTTGTTGTATTTCGGCCTCCTCTTTTTTGCAAAACTCTTGAGGGCTGTGTGAAATGGGATCGCGGGTCACTCGGACCCGCTCAATCCGGGGTGTGTACGCGACGCAAGGACAACGGCTGGGGTTAGATGCCGGGGTTGTGAGTTCGAGCCTTGCCCGGTGCGGTGGTTTTTTACACCCTCGGCGATAAATACTAAAAAAGATAGTAATAACAGATGGACAACGGTGAAACATGCCCACGTTGTTGTATTTCGGCCTCCTCTTTTTTGCAAAACTCTGGAGGGCTGTGTGAAATGGGATCGCGGGTCACTCGGACCCGCTCAATTCGGGGTGTGTACGCGACGCGAGGACAACGGCTGGGGTTAGATGCCGGGGTTGTGAGTTCGAGCCTCGCCCGGTGCGGTGGTTTTTTACACCCTCGCCGATAAATACTAATAAAGGTAGTAAGAATAGATGGACAACGGTGAAACACGCGCACGTTGTTGTATTTCGGCCTCCTCTTTTTTGCAAAACTCTTGAGGGCTGTGTGAAATGGGATCGCGGGTCACTCGGACCCGCTCAATCCGGGGTGTGTACGCGACGCGAGGACAAGGCTGGGGTTAGATGCCGGGGTTGTGAGTTCGAGCCTTGCCCGGTGCGGTGGTTTTTACACCCTCGGCGATAAATACTAAAAAGATAGTAATAACAGATGGACAACGGTGAAACATGCCCACGTTGTTGTATTTCGGCCTCCTCTTTTTTGCAAAACTCCCAGGGCTGTGTGAAATGGGATCGCGGGTCACTCGGACCCGCTCAATTCGGGGTGTGTACGCGACGCGAGGACAACGGCTGGGGTTAGATGCCGGGGTTGTGAGTTCGAGCCTCGCCCGGTGCGGTGGTTTTTACACCCTCGCCGATAAATACTAAAAAAGATAGTAATAACAGATGGACAACGGTGAAACATGCCCACGTTGTTGTATTTCGGCCTCCTCTTTTTTGCAAAACTCCCAGGGCTGTGTGAAATGGGATCGCGGGTCACTCGGACCCGCTCAATTCGGGGTGTGTACGCGACGCGAGGACAACGGCTGGGGTTAGATGCCGGGGTTGTGAGTTCGAGCCTCGCCCGGTGCGGTGGTTTTTACCCCTCCCCTCGACGGGGTGTGTACGCGATGCGAGGACAGCACAAGGGTTAAACAAGCTGTGATGGCCGAGTGGTTAAGGCTTTGAAATCCAATGGGGTTTCTCCGCGCAGGTTAGAACCCTGCTCTTAGCGAATTTTTATCTTGACCGCAATTTAAACATCTGGATTAATTTGCATGGTCAATACAGACTATCTGGACGATTCCCTGTCTCTTTGGGGTTTCCCCGCGCAGGTTCGAACCCTGCTCTCAGCGAATTTTTATCTTGTCCGCAATTTAAACATCTGGATTAATTTGCATGGTCAATACAGACAATCTGGATGATGCCTAGTCTGTTTGTAAAACAAGATTTTTTTTTTTATGAAGAAAATACTCCTTTAAACAAGCTGTGATGGCCGAGTGGTTAAGGCGTTTGTTTTGAAATCCAATGGGGTTTCCCCACGCAGGTTCGAACCCTGCTCTCAGCGAATTTTTATCTTGTCCGCAATCTGGATGATGCCTAGTCTGTTTGTTAAACAAGATTTTTTTTTTATGAAGAAAATACTCCTTTAAACAAGCTGTGATGGCCGAGTGGTTAAGGCGTTGGATTTGAAATCCAATGGGGTTTCCCCGCGCAGGTTCGAACCCTGCTCTCAGCGAATTTTTATCTTGTCCACAATCTGGATGATGCCTAGTCTGTTTGTTAAACAAGATTTTTTTTTATGAAGAAAATACTCCTTTAAACAAGCTGTGATGGCCGAGTGGTTAAGGCTTTGGATTAGGAATCCAATGGGGTTTGTCCGCGCAGGTTAGAACCCTGCTCTCAGCGAATTGTTATCTTGACTGCAATTTTAACATCTGGATTTAGCATGGTCAATACAGACTATCTGGACGAAAATACTCCCTGTCTCTAGTGGTTAAGGCTTTTCCCGCACGCAGGTTCGAACCCTGCTCTCAGCGAATTTTTATCTTCAATACAGACAATCTGGATGATTCCTAGTCTGTTTGTAAAACAAGATTTTTTTTTTTACGAAGAAAATACTCCTTTAAACAAGCTGTGATGGCCGAGTGGTTAAGGCTTTGAAATCCAATGGGGTTTCCCCGCATAGGTTCGAACCCGGCTCTCAGCGAATTTTTATTTTGTCCGCAATTTAAACATCTGGATTAATTTGCATGGTCAATACAGACAATCTGGATGATGCCTAGTCTGTTTGTAAAACAAGATTTTTTTTTATGAAGAAAATACTCCTTTAAACACGCTGTGATGGCCGAGTGGTTAAGGCGTTTGTTTTGAAATCCAATGGGGTTTCCCCACGCAGGTTCGAACCCTGCTCTCAGCGAATTTTTATCTTGTCCGCAATCTGGATGATGCCTAGTCTTTTTGTAAAACAAGATTTTTTTTTATGAAGAAAATACTCCTTTAAACAAGCTGTGATGGCCGAGTGGTTAAGGCGTTGGATTTGAAATCCAATGGGGTTTCCCCGCGCAGGTTCGAACCCTGCTCTCAGCGAATTTTTATCTTGTCCATGGTCAATACAGACAATCTGGATGATGCCTAGTCTGTTTGTAAAACAAGATTTTTTTTTTTTATGAAGAAAATACTCCTTTAAACAAGCTGTGATGGCCGAGTGGTTAAGGCTTTGGATTTGAAATCCAATGGGGTTTCCCCGCGCAGGTTCGAACCCTGCTCTCAGCGAATTTTTATCTTGACTGCAATTTTAAACATCTGGATTTTTGCATGGTCAATACAGACAATCTGGATGATGCCTAGTCTGTTTGTAAAACAAGATTTTTTTTTACGAAGAAAATACTCCTTTAAACAAGCTGTGATGGCCGAGTGGTTAAGGCTTTGAAATCCAATGGGGTTTCTCCGCGCAGGTTAGAACCCTGCTCTTAGCGAATTTTTATCTTGACCGCAATTTAAACATCTGGATTAATTTGCATGGTCAATACAGACTATCTGGACGATTCCCTGTCTCTTTGGGGTTTCCCCGCGCAGGTTCGAACCCTGCTCTCAGCGAATTTTTATCTTGTCCGCAATTTAAACATCTGGATTAATTTGCATGGTCAATACAGACAATCTGGATGATGCCTAGTCTGTTTGTAAAACAAGATTTTTTTTTATGAAGAAAATACTCCTTTAAACAAGCTGTGATGGCCGAGTGGTTAAGGCGTTTGTTTTGAAATCCAATGGGGTTTCCCCACGCAGGTTCGAACCCTGCTCTCAGCGAATTTTTATCTTGTCCGCAATCTGGATGATGCCTAGTCTGTTTGTTAAACAAGATTTTTTTTTATGAAGAAAATACTCCGTTAAACAAGCTGTGATGGCCGAGTGGTTAAGGCGTTGGATTTGAAATCCAATGGGGTTTCTCCGCGCAGGTTCGAACCCTGCTCTCAGCGAAAATTTTTATCTTGTCACAATCTGGATGATGCCTAGTCTGTTTGTAAAACAAGATTTTTTTTTATGAAGAAAATACTCCTTTAAACAAGCTGTGATGGCCGAGTGGTTAAGGCTTTGGATTTGAAATCCAATGGGGTTTCCGCGCAGGTTCGAACCCTGCTCTCAGCGAATTTTATTTTTATCTTTCTGCAATTTTAAAACATCTGGATTAAACTCTCGAATGCTCTTAGCAATCTGGACGATGCCTAGTCTGTTTGTAAAACAAGATTTTTTTTTTACGAAGAAAATACTCCTTTAAACAAGCTGTGATGGCCGAGTGGTTAAGGCTTTGAAATCCAATGGGGTTTCTCCGCGCAGGTTCGAACCCTGCTCTCAGCGAATTTTTATTTTGTCCGCAATTTTAAACATCTGGATTAATTTGCATGGTCATACAGACAATCTGGATGATGCCTAGTCTGTTTGTAAAACAAGATTTTTTTTTATTACGAAGAAAATACTCCTTTAAACAAGCTGTGATGGCCGAGTGGTTAAGGCTTTGAAATCCAATGGGGTTTCTCCGCGCAGGTTAGAACCCTGCTCTCAGCGAATTTTTATCTTGACTGCAATTTAAACATCTGGATTTTTGCATGGTCAATACAGACTATCTGGACGATTCCCTGTCTCTTTGGGGTTTCCCCGCGCAGGTTCGAACCCTGCTCTCAGCGAATTTTTATCTTGTCCGCAATTTAAACATCTGGATTAATTTGCATGGTCAATACAGACAATCTGGATGATGCCTAGTCTGTTTGTAAAACAAGATTTTTTTTTATGAAGAAAATACTCCTTTAAACAAGCTGTGATGGCCGAGTGGTTAAGGCGTTTGTTTTGAAATCCAATGGGGTTTCCCCACGCAGGTTCGAACCCTGCTCTCAGCGAATTTTTATCTTGTCCGCAATCTGGATGATGCCTAGTCTGTTTGTTAAACAAGATTTTTTTTTATGAAGAAAATACTCCGTTAAACAAGCTGTGATGGCCGAGTGGTTAAGGCGTTGGATTTGAAATCCAATGGGGTTTCCCCGCGCAGGTTCGAACCCTGCTCTCAGCGAATTTTTATCTTGTCCGCAATCTGGATGATGCCTAGTCTGTTTGTAAAACAAGATTTTTTTTTTTGAAGAAAATACTCCTTTAAACAAGCTGTGATGGCCGAGTGGTTAAGCAAGCTGTGATGGTTTCCCCGCAGGTTGGTTAAGGCGCAATTTAAACATCTGGATTTTGAAATCCAATGGGGTTTCCCCGCGCAGGTTCGAACCCTGCTCTCAGCGAATTTTTATCTTGTCTGCAATTTAAACATATCTGATTAATTTGCATGGTCAATACAGACAATCTGGATGATGCCTAGTCTGTTTGTAAAACAAGATTTTTTTTTATGAAGAAAATACTCCTTTAAACAAGCTGTGATGGCCGAGTGGTTAAGGCTTTGGATTTGAAATCCAATGGGGTTTCCCGCGCAGGTTCGAACCCTGCTCTCAGCGAATTTTTATCTTGACTGCAATTTTAACATCTGGATTTTGCATGGTCAATACAGACTATCTGGACGATGCCTAGTCTGTTTGTAAAACAAGATTTTTTTTTTTACGAAGAAAATACTCCTTTAAACAAGCTGTGATGGCCGAGTGGTTAAGGCTTTGAAATCCAATGGGGTTTCTCCCGCGCAGGTTAGAACCCTGCTCTCAGCGAATTTTTATCTTGTCCGCAATTTAAACATCTGGATTAATTTGCATGGTCAATACAGACTATCTGGACGATTCCCTGTCTCTTTGGGGTTTCCCCGCGCAGGTTCGAACCCTGCTCTCAGCGAATTTTTATCTTGTCCGCAATTTAAACATCTGGATTAATTTGCATGGTAATACAGACAATCTGGATGATGCCTAGTCTGTTTGTAAAACAAGATTTTTTTTTATGAAGAAAATACTCCTTTAAACAAGCTGTGATGGCCGAGTGGTTAAGGCGTTTGTTTTGAAATCCAATGGGGTTTCCCCACGCAGGTTCGAACCCTGCTCTCAGCGAATTTTTATCTTGTCCGCAATCTGGATGATGCCTAGTCTGTTTGTTAAACAAGATTTTTTTTTTATGAAGAAAATACTCCTTTAAACAAGCTGTGATGGCCGAGTGGTTAAGGCGTTGGATTTGAAATCCAATGGGGTTTCCCCGCGCAGGTTCGAACCCTGCTCTCAGCGAATTTTTATCTTGTCCGCAATTTAAACATCTGGATGATACAGACAATCTGGATGATGCCTAGTCTGTTTGTAAAACAAGATTTTTTTTTTTACGAAGAAAATACTCCTTTAAACAAGCTGTGATGGCCGAGTGGTTAAGGCTTTGAAATCCAATGGGGTTTCTCCGCGCAGGTTCGAACCCTGCTCTCAGCGAATTTTTATTTTGTCCGCAATTTTAAACATCTGGATTAATTTGCATGGTCAATACAGACAATCTGGATGATGCCTAGTCTGTTTGTAAAACAAGATTTTTTTTTATGAAGAAAATACTCCTTTAAACAAGCTGTGATGGCCGAGTGGTTAAGGCTTTGCAATGGGGTTTTGAAACCCTGCTCAATCTTGGGGTTTCCCCAATCGCAGGTTCGAACCCTGCTCTCAGCGAATTTTTATCTTGTACAGACAATCTGGATGATGCCTAGTCTGTTTGTAAAACAAGATTTTTTTTTATGAAGAAAATACTCCTTTAAACAAGCTGTGATGGCCGAGTGGTTAAGGCGTTGGTTTTGAAATCCAATGGGGTTTCCCCGCGCAGGTTCGAACCCTGCTCTCAGCGAATTTTTATCTTGTCCGCAATCTGGATGATGCCTAGTCTGTTTGTAAAACAAGATTTTTTTTTATGAAGAAAATACTCCTTTAAACAAGCTGTGATGGCCGAGTGGTTAAGGCGTTGGATTTGAAATCCAATGGGGTTTCCCCGCGCAGGTTCGAACCCTGCTCTCAGCGAATTTTTATCTTGTCCGCAATTTTAAACATCTGGATTAATTTGCATGGTCAATACAGACAATCTGGATGATGCCTAGTCTGTTTGTAAAACAAGATTTTTTTTTTACGAAGAAAATACTCCTTTAAACAAGCTGTGATGGCCGAGTGGTTAAGGCTTTGAAATCCAATGGGGTTTCTCCGCGCAGGTTAGAACCCTGCTCTCAGCGAATTTTTATCTTGACTGCAATTTAAACATCTGGATTTTTGCATGGTTACAGACTAACGATTACCCTGTCTCTATGGGGTTTCCCCGCGCAGGTTCGAACCCTGCTCTCAGCGAATTTTTATCTTGTGCAATTTAAACATCTGGATTAATTTGCATGGTCAATACAGACAATCTGGATGATGCCTAGTCTGTTTGTAAAACAAAATTTTTTTATGAAGAAAATACTCCTTTAAACAAGCTGTGATGGCCGAGTGGTTAAGGCGTTTGTTTTGAAATCCAATGGGGTTTCCCCACGCAGGTTCGAACCCTGCTCTCAGCGAATTTTTATCTTGTCCACAATCTGGATGATGCCTAGTCTGTTTGTTAAAACAAGATTTTTTTTTATGAAGAAAATACTCCTTTAAACAAGCTGTGATGGCCGAGTGGTTAAGGCGTTGGATTTGAAATCCAATGGGGTTTCCCCGCGCAGGTTCGAACCCTGCTCTCAGCGAATTTTTATCTTGTCCGCAATCTGGATGATGCCTAGTCTGTTTGTAAAACAAGATTTTTTTTTTTAAAGAAAATACTCCTTTAAACAAGCTGTGATGGCCGAGTGGTTAAGGCGTTGGATTTGAAATCCAATGGGGTTTCTCCGCGCAGGTTCGAACCCTGCTCTCAGCGAATTTTTATCTTGACTGCAATTTTTTATCTTGCATGGTCAATACAGACAATCTTAAACATCTGTTTGTAAAACAAGATTTTTGCATGAAGAAAATACTCCTTTAAACAAGCTCGATGGCCGAGTGGTTAAGGCCTGTCAATGGGGTTTCCCCGCGCAGGTTCGAACCCTGCTCTCAGCGAATTTTTATTTTGTCCGCAATTTTAAACATCTGGATTAATTTGCATGGTCATACAGACAATCTGGATGATGCCTAGTCTGTTTGTAAAACAAGATTTTTTTTTATGAAGAAAATACTCCTTTAAACAAGCTGTGATGGCCGAGTGGTTAAGGCGTTTGTTTTGAAATCCAATGGGGTTTCCCCGCGCAGGTTCGAACCCTGCTCTCAGCGAATTTTTATCTTGTCCGCAATCTGGATGATGCCTAGTCTGTTTGTTAAACAAGATTTTTTTTTATGAAGAAAATACTCCTTTAAACAAGCTGTGATGGCCGAGTGGTTAAGGCGTTGGATTTGAAATCCAATGGGGTTTCCCCGCGCAGGTTCGAACCCTGCTCTCAGCGAATTTTTATCTTGTCCGCAGTCTGGATGATGCCTAGTCTGTTTGTAAAACAAGAATTTTTTTTTTACAAAGAAAATACTCCTTTAAACAAGCTGTGATGGCCGAGTGGTTAAGGCTTTGGATTTGAAATCCAATGGGGTTTCTCCGCGCAGGTTCGAACCCTGCTCTCAGCGAATTGTTATCTTGACTGCAATTTTAACATCTGGATTTTGCATGGTCAATACAGACTATCTGGACGATGCCTAGTCTGTTTGTAAAACAAGATTTTTTTTTTACGAAGAAAATACTCCTTTAAACAAGCTGTGATGGCCGAGTGGTTAAGGCTTTGAAATCCAATGGGGTTTCTCCGCGCAGGTTAGAACCCTGCTCTCAGCGAATTTTTATCTTGACCGCAATTTAAACATCTGGATTAATTTGCATGGTCAATACAGACTATCTGGACGATTCCCTGTCTCTTTGGGGTTTCCCCGCGCAGGTTCGAACCCTGCTCTCAGCGAATTTTTATCTTGTCCGCAATTTAAACATCTGGATTAATTTGCATGGTCAATACAGACAATCTGGATGATGCCTAGTCTGTTTGTAAAACAAGATTTTTTTTTATGAAGAAAATACTCCTTTAAACAAGCTGTGATGGCCGAGTGGTTAAGGCGTTTGTTTTGAAATCCAATGGGGTTTCCCCACGCAGGTTCGAACCCTGCTCTCAGCGAATTTTTATCTTGTCCGCAATCTGGATGATGCCTAGTCTGTTTGTTAAACAAGATTTTTTTTTATGAAGAAAATACTCCGTTAAACAAGCTGTGATGGCCGAGTGGTTAAGGCGTTGGATTTGAAATCCAATGGGGTTTCCCCGCGCAGGTTCGAACCCTGCTCTCAGCGAATTTTTAATTTTTATCTTGTCCGACAAGTCTGGATGATGCCTAGTCTGTTTGTAAAACAAGATTTTTTTTTACAAAGAAAATACTCCTTTAAACAAGCTGTGATGGCCGAGTGGTTAAGGCTTTGGATTTGAAATCCAATGGGTTTTCTCCGCGCAGGTTCGAACCCTGCTCTCAGCGAATTTTTATCTTGTCCTGCAATTTAAACATCTGGATTAATTTGCATGGTCAATACAGACAATCTGGATGATGCCTAGTCTGTTTGTAAAACAAGATTTTTTTTTTTTTTTTTTTACGAAGAAAATACTCCTTTAAACAAGCTGTGATGGCCGAGTGGTTAAGGCTTTGAAATCCAATGGGGTTTCTGTTTTAGAACCCAAGCGAATTTTTATCTTTTACGAAGAAAATACTCCTTTAAACAATCTGGAGTGGTTAATTTGCATGGTTTGAAATTCCCTGTCTCTTTGGGGTTTCCCGCGCAGGTTCGAACCCTGCTCTCAGCGAATTTTTATCTTGTCCGCAATTTAAACATCTGGATTAATTTGCATGGTCAATACAGACAATCTGGATGATGCCTAGTCTGTTTGTAAAACAAGATTTTTTTTTATGAAGAAAATACTCCTTTAAACAAGCTGTGATGGCCGAGTGGTTAAGGCGTTTGTTTTGAAATCCAATGGGGTTTCCCCACGCAGGTTCGAACCCTGCTCTCAGCGAAGTCTGTTTTTTTTTATCTTGTCCGCAATCTGGATGATGCCTAGTCTGTTTGTAAAACAAGATTTTTTTTTTATGAAGAAAATACTCCTTTAAACAAGCTGTGATGGCCGAGTGGTTAAGGCGTTGGATTTGAAATCCAATGGGGTTTCCCGCGCAGGTTCGAACCCTGCTCTCAGCGAATTTTTATCTTGAATTTTAAACATCTGGATTATTTTTGTCCAGACAATCTGGATGATATGAAGAAAATACTCCTTTAAACAAGCTAGTTGTTAAAACAAGCGTTTTTTTTTTCCCCGCGCAGGTTGAAGAAAATAAAACAAGATTTTTTTTTTACAAAGAAAATACTCCTTTAAACAAGCTGTGATGGCCGAGTGGTTAAGGCGTTGGATTTGAAATCCAATGGGGTTTCTCCGCGCAGGTTAGAACCCTGCTCTCAGTGAATTTTTATCTTGTCCGCAATTTAAACATCTGGATTAATTTGCATGGTCAATACAGACAATCTGGATGATGCCTAGTCTGTTTGTAAAACAAGATTTTTTTTTTACGAAGAAAATACTCCTTTAAACAAGCTGTGATGGCCGAGTGGTTAAGGCTTTGAAATCCAATGGGGTTTCCCGCGCAGGTTCGAACCCTGCTCTCAGCGAATTTTTATCTTGACTGCAATTTTAAACATCTGGATTAATTTGCATTCTGGACGATTACCCTGTCTCTTGGGGTTTCCCCGCGCAGGTTCGAACCCTGCTCTCAGCGAATTTTTATCTTGTCCGCAATTTAAACATCTGGATTAATTTGCATGGTCAATACAGACAATCTGGATGATGCCTAGTCTGTTTGTAAAACAAGATTTTTTTTTATGAAGAAAATACTCCTTTAAACAAGCTGTGATGGCCGAGTGGTTAAGGCGTTTGTTTTGAAATCCAATGGGGTTTCCCCACGCAGGTTCGAACCCTGCTCTCAGCGAATTTTTATCTTGTCCGCAATCTGGATGATGCCTAGTCTGTTTGTTAAACAAGATTTTTTTTTATGAAGAAAATACTCCTTTAAACAAGCTGTGATGGCCGAGTGGTTAAGGCGTTGGATTTGAAATCCAATGGGGTTTCCCCGCGCAGGTTCGAACCCTGCTCTCAGCGAATTTTTATCTTGTCCGCAATCTGGATGATGCCTAGTCTGTTTGTAAAACAAGATTTTTTTTTATGAAGAAAATACTCCTTTAAACAAGCTGTGATGGCCGAGTGGTTAAGGCGTTGGATTTGAAATCCAATGGGGTTTCCCCGCGCAGGTTCGAACCCTGCTCTCAGCGAATTTTTATCTTGTCCGCAATTTTAAACATCTGGATTAATTTGCATGGTCAATACAGACAATCTGGATGATGCCTAGTCTGTTTGTAAAACAAGATTTTTTTTTATGAAGAAAATACTCCTTTAAACAAGCTGTGATGGCCGAGTGGTTAAGGCTTTGAAATCCAATGGGGTTTCCCCGCATAGGTTCGAACCCTGCTCTCAGCGATTTTTATCTTTGCAATTTTAAACATCTGGATTTTGCATGGTCATACAGACAATCTGGATGATGCCTAGTCTGTTTGTAAAACAAGATTTTTTTTTATGAAGAAAATACTCCTTTAAACAAGCTGTGATGGCCGAGTGGTTAAGGCGTTGGATTTGAAATCCAATGGGGTTTCCCGCGCAGGTTCGAACCCTGCTCTCAGCGAATTTTTTATTCTGGATTTTGAAATGCATGGTCAATGGGGGCGCAGGTTCGAACCCTGCTCTCAGCGAATTTTTATCTTGCAATTTTAAACATCTGGATTAATTTGCATGGTCAATACAGACAATCTGGATGATGCCTAGTCTGTTTGTAAAACAAGATTTTTTTTTTTATGAAGAAAATACTCCTTTAAACAAGCTGTGATGGCCGAGTGGTTAAGGCGTTTGTTTTGAAATCCAATGGGGTTTCCCCACGCAGGTTCGAACCCTGCTCTCAGCGAATTTTTATCTTGTCCGCAATCTGGATGATGCCTAGTCTGTTTGTAAAACAAGATTTTTTTTTTATGAAGAAAATACTCCTTTAAACAAGCTGTGATGGCCGAGTGGTTAAGGCGTTGGATTTGAAATCCAATGGGGTTTCCCGCGCAGGTTCGAACCCTGCTCTCAGCGAATTTTTATCTTGTCCGCAATTTAAACATCTGGATTAATTTGCATGGTCAATACAGACAATCTGGATGATGCCTAGTCTGTTTGTAAAACAAGATTTTTTTTTAAACAAGCTGTGATGGCCGAGTGGTTAAGGCTTTGACTCGAAATCCAAAGATTAATTTGCATGGTCAATACAGACAATCTGGATGAAAGAAAATACTCCTTTAAACAAGCTGTGATGGCCGAGTGGTTAAGGCGTTTGTTTTGAAATCCAATGGGGTTTCCCCACGCAGGTTCGAACCCTGCTCTCAGCGAATTTCTTGATGCCTAGTCTGTTTGTAAAACAAGATTTTTTTTTTATGAAGAAAATACTCCTTTAAACAAGCTGTGATGGCCGAGTGGTTAAGGCCGTTGGATTTGAAATCCAATGGGTTTTCCCACGCAGGTTCGAACCCTGCTCTGGAATTTTTATCTTGTCCGCAATCTGGATGATGCCTAGTCTGTTTGTAAAACAAGAATTTTTTTTTTACAAAGAAAATACTCCTTTAAACAAGCTGTGATGGCCGAGTGGTTAAGGCTTTGGATTTGAAATCCAATGGGGTTTCTCCGCGCAGGTTCGAACCCTGCTCTCAGCGAATTGTTATCTTGACTGCAATTTTAACATCTGGATTTTGCATGGTCAATACAGACTATCTGGACGATGCCTAGTCTGTTTGTAAAACAAGATTTTTTTTTACGAAGAAAATACTCCTTTAAACAAGCTGTGATGGCCGAGTGGTTAAGGCTTTGAAATCCAATGGGGTTTCTCCCGCGCAGGTTAGAACCCTGCTCTCAGCGAATTTTTATCTTGTCCGCAATTTAAACATCTGGATTAATTTGCATGGTCAATACAGACTATCTGGACGATTCCCTGTCTCTTTGGGGTTTCCCCGCGCAGGTTCGAACCCTGCTCTCAGCGAATTTTTATCTTGTCCGCAATTTAAACATCTGGATTAATTTGCATGGTCAATACAGACAATCTGGATGATGCCTAGTCTGTTTGTAAAACAAGATTTTTTTTTATGAAGAAAATACTCCTTTAAACAAGCTGTGATGGCCGAGTGGTTAAGGCGTTTGTTTTGAAATCCAATGGGGTTTCCCCACGCAGGTTCGAACCCTGCTCTCAGCGAATTTTTATCTTGTCCGCAATCTGGATGATGCCTAGTCTGTTTGTTAAACAAGATTTTTTTTTATGAAGAAAATACTCCTTTAAACAAGCTGTGATGGCCGAGTGGTTAAGGCGTTGGATTTGAAATCCAATGGGGTTTCCCCGCGCAGGTTCGAACCCTGCTCTCAGCGAATTTTTATCTTGAATTTTTATTTTGTCCAGACAATCTGGATGATGCCTAGTCTGTTTGTAAAACAAGATTTTTTTTTATGAAGAAAATACTCCTTTAAACAAGCTGTGATGGCCGAGTGGTTAAGGCTTTGGATTTGAAATCCAATGGGTTTTCCCGCGCAGGTTCGAACCCTGCTCTCAGCGAATTTTTATCTTTGCAATTTTAAACATCTGGCAATTTTAACATCTGGATTTTGCATGGTCAATACAGACAATCTGGATGATGCCTAGTCTGTTTGTAAAACAAGATTTTTTTTTTTACGAAGAAAATACTCCTTTAAACAAGCTGTGATGGCCGAGTGGTTAAGGCTTTGAAATCCAATGGGGTTTCTCCGCGCAGGTTAGAACCCTGCTCTCAGCGAATTTTTATCTTGTCCGCAATTTAAACATCTGGATTAATTTGCATGGTCAATACAGACTATTTGGACGATTCCCTGTCTCTTTGGGGTTTCCCGCGCAGGTTCGAACCCTGCTCTCAGCGAATTTTTATCTTGTCCGCAATTTAAACATCTGGATTAATTTGCATGGTCAATACAGACAATCTGGATGATGCCTAGTCTGTTTGTAAAACAAGATTTTTTTTTATGAAGAAAATACTCCTTTAAACAAGCTGTGATGGCCGAGTGGTTAAGGCGTTTGTTTTGAAATCCAATGGGGTTTCCCCACGCAGGTTCGAACCCTGCTCTCAGCGAATTTTTATCTTGTCCGCAATCTGGATGATGCCTAGTCTGTTTGTTAAACAAGATTTTTTTTTATGAAGAAAATACTCCTTTAAACAAGCTGTGATGGCCGAGTGGTTAAGGCGTTGGATTTGAAATCCAATGGGGTTTCCCCGCGCAGGTTCGAACCCTGCTCTCAGCGAATTTTTATCTTGACTGCAATTTTAACATCTGGATTTTTGATGGCAGACTATCTGGAGATGCCTAGTCTGTTTGTAAAACAAGATTTTTTTTTTTTTTGAAGAAAATACTCCTTTAAACAAGCTGTGATCGAGTGGTTAAGGCGTTGGATTTGAAATCCAATGGGGTTTCCCCGCGCAGGTTCGAACCCTGCTCTCATCTTGGAATTTTTATCTTGTCCGCAATCTGGATGATGCCTAGTCTGTTTGTAAAACAAGATTTTTTTTTTTACATGAAGAAAATACTCCTTTAAACAAGCTGTGATGGCCGAGTGGTTAAGGCGTTGGCTTTGAAATCCAATGGGGTTTCCCGCGCAGGTTCGAACCCTGCTCTCAGCGAATTTTTATCTTGTCCGCAATTTTAAACATCTGGATTAATTT